ATTTAAAATGTATCGACTTGGAGTGATTTTTCATGGTGAGGTATTGAAGAATTTAAACCGTAGACTGATTACTAAAATATATTATGTATTACAATGGGACTTAAAAATTTAGTTTTGTAACTAAATACTCTTATTATTATTATTATTAAGTTTTTATTAAGTTATTAAGTTTTTCTACTTGAAAGCACTGGTATATAAAATGTACTTGAAAATATATTCTATGATGTGTGACGTACTTTAGAACCTTATCATAATAATATCTTCATAATTATACTGATGGAATAAACACAGATTTTTTTCACTGGCCCTCAAATGCCCTGGTACGGCCGAGTGGAAAGAGTCCGCTTTCCCTCTCGAAATGCTCCCACACGGCCACGCGTTTATAGTCTCTGCCATGGAATTCCTACTCACTACCTTCGAGGTGTGGCGCCTTAAGAAAACCACCTGCTTTGGTCTGGACACCTGGGCAGTATCCCAGCATACAAACAAATCAAGTGACTTGTGTAGCGCATATGTGTTCGGTGCCCCTTTGTACCAATATTTATGTGTTTGAATAAATAAATAAAATAATTTTTCACTGACTATAGGAGATAATCGAGTGCAACAAAAAATTAATTTAAACATGAAAATCTTATAATGCTTGGTAATTTTGGTAGATGACAGAATATCTGCATTTATTCAAAAGCTCATTTGATGTTTACTAAGTTATGTCAACAAGCATGTAGGCGGTATATCTATGTATTTACTAAAAGTAGTCTTTATTACACATCAAATTGTTTTATTTTACATCACTGTAACAAAACAAGGCCTTTGAGATCAGTGAACAATCCATGGATTACCAAACAAAATGTACATAGTTCGGCATTTTAAACAAAATACCATTTAAGTATTATTTTGTATGCGTCTAAAGGTACATGTAGTAAAGAAAATGAAACTGATTGTATTAGCAATAATTTAACTAGTCATAAAGTCTACTCATAATACGTAAGAATATTAAATTTTAAACTTTGAAATGTTGGCTGATGCTCATTGAACTTCAAAACATTGACTACCATAAATATGCAGGTTGATTTTCGTATATTAGTGAACAAATAATTCACACATTCCATAACGTTTCTATACCTACGTACCTATATATATATATATGTCTACAAATTCATAACCTCGAAAGTTAACAGTCTAATCCAAAAACGAGAAGAACTGACATTATTGTAAATGACAAGTTCTTTTTTATTTTGAAGTTTTCCATTTCCGAAAATTATTATTTAAGGTGTCCAGTTGATTCTAGGTATAAGTCAGTTAATCAGTCATTTACAACTTAGGACCAGGCACATATATGCATCGGAACAAGTTGCTACACTTCATTAGCACAACGAGATGAACACCGAATTCATAGAAGCAGTTACTTTAATGGTAGTAAAAGAAAGATTATATATAAGGACATGATACGGAGAGAAAGGATTGGTTCGTAGAAAGAAAGGTATGAAGTAACTTTAATCCCACGGTTCAAGGAAAGACAGAGAATGTATACGCCTACGCCATTGTGATAGATTCTGAACCACGTCCCTCAGTCTCCAACCAAGTAGTCTGCATCTACCAACATGGCTCAGACCAGAAGTTATTGACTTTAAGGACTGATGCCACGTTTTGGTTTGGCCGCCCCTAACTTTCTTCCAACCATCTCAAACATTAGTCAACAGTGCGCGTCGTGGTAATCGGCGTTCAGGCATAAGTAACATGTGGCCCAATCATCTCAGTCGATGAAGATTCACAACTTCACCAACTGATTTACCATCATTCCCTAATACCCTACGTCTAACTCTACTATTACTTACCCGGTGATCCCAGCAGATGGCAATATTTCTAAGACATCTGCAATCAAATAATAGTAACTTACGAGTATCTTCTACTCTTAATGGCCATGTTTCACAGTCGTAAAGTAGAACAGAGAAAACTGCTGCACAGTACACTCGTCCCTTAATTGATAGACGGATATCTCGCCTTCGCCATAGGTGACGTAAGTTGGCAAAAGCCCAACGGGCTTTTTGAATCCATGCAGAGATTTCGTCAGACACCAACCCATTAAGGCTAATCAGACTTTCAAGATAAGTAAAGTTGTCGATACGTTCGACTACTCCACTATTCGAGGCATAAAACTTGTAACCAACCACTACTGTTCGCGTTTTTTATATCAAGTAAGCATATAATAAAACATGATATTTATCACACAGAGGTAGCTTTAATTTAAAGGTTGAATATTATAGACCGTAAAGTAAACCAAGATATTATTTGGAATCGCTCAGAGACCGGAGAAAATTATTTCATTAGGAAGCAAGGTGACCAGTTAAAAAAGCTGATCAAAACAATCATTATTTACAAAGAGTACTCTTATTTCCTCATGGAAAGGTTAAACAAGTTCACAAAAAGAAAAAAATCAAAGACTGTTTTGAACGACTGTAACGAATAGGAAATTAATACAACTTCGTTTATCAGTTGATACACTGGTCATATTTTTATTATCTGTTAATAACTGAAATCAGTGAAAAATATGAAACGGAAATTTTTTTAGTGACATTATCAAACTAAAACGTTGAGCTTCATCAACAAAAAATTTAAGTAATGAATGTCACATTTAAGTTAAATTAACAAAATATTCGCATCGGTAATCTCAACATCTCTGTAATATTACAATAGTAGATCAATGGCTGAAATGCCTTTTGAAAGACATATCTGCAAAGTACTAGAGTCAGTTGAGAAATGGTATGAAAGGATACATTCACTTTCCGAAATATATAGATCTTATGTGTACAATGGAACAAGAGAGCGTTTGATTGTAATGACTCATTCGAGCAAAAACGTAGTAAGTGGGGTGTTCACAGGTTGATGAGATCGTCACGGTTTGTGAAATAAACATTCTATGGTTTTTGTGTAGATCAGTAAAAATGAAAAAAGTTTAACGGCTGTGTTCAAACTGAAGTCCATTGACTATTTATAGCCATTATCTATTAAAATCAAACAACTTTCTCCAAATATCAATCTCTTTAGATCCCTCTTTTAATGCAAATAAATGACTACTAGAGAGTTGTAGATAGATTACAGATAACTTTAATAATTTAAGCAATGTCCCTTAGATATTATCACAATATTTAGCAAAGCGGTTGCGACATATGATTTACTTGGCAAAAACCGTACAGATTGATCTAGTACATTACTCTATGGTTTTAAATTTACTCAGCTAAATGCTTTTAGACATAACGTGTTTTTACTCTGGAATAATAAAACAATTACCATCTGATCATTTAAATAATTATCATAGATTAAGCGTCAATTAAATAGAGAGTATGTCAAACAACACTTCATTCGATTATATTACTCAATCTTATTTATAATTAAAACATGCCTCGTACTAAGGACTCTTACTAAAAAGACTATTAAACGAGTATCACTCTATAGTACTCAATCTAGAGCTGCCCTAGAAATCCTACCAATTTCAAGCACGGATAAAAGGAGAGGTTTGGCATGGGGTTAGCAACCCCATTCCTTAAAATAACCTTACTAAGAAAACACTAAACAGAAAAGTCAACACCATGTAGTAAAACCGTTAAGTGTTTTCCTAGTCCATATAGCTTTGTCAGTATGTACGTTAAGTAAAATGGGTGATTTACATAACTTCATGTTTTGATATATTTATTATTACTATTGACTAAGAAACTCAACACTGAACAAATTACGTCATATGGATTTATATTCACTTATTAGAATAAAGTACAAGGAAAAAAGCAAGCAATTCGTCAATAAAATTAGTTTGATCCATAAGACACGTAACGCGTATTTCCAAATATTTTAAAAATTTGATCGCGAAAAATGATTGTTTACTTGAACTGATAAGGAAGTTTATTATCATAGATTTTTTGTGACTTCATTCGAGTAGGAAGAGAATATAACACTGTTGAATTTAGCAATAACTAATATTGAATGGAACAGTTACACTCTACTAAATCCTAATTTTGAAAAACAGCGAACATTCTAAAAATGCTCAATTTCTATGGTATGGCTAAGAGTGGAGAGAGTCCGCTATCCCATAAGAAATGCTCTTATACGGCTACGAGTATACAGCCACTGCCAAGAAAGACCTACTCACTGCCTTGTTTACGAAATTGAGAGTATGAAAAGTGGATGCCAAGCGCTTTGATCGAGTTGATGGATACAGAGGATTTACCATGGGGGATTAGAGAACCCTGGCTCTAAACCAGTGGTGCACATGGGCTCCGATATCTTGATAAAACAAATTGTGTACGAGACTGTTGTTGGACACAGGCTAACATGGGACGGTATCTAGCGTTGCTCCACTGCCTTGCGGATTACATTTCCAAGTCAAAGGCTAGGGAAGTGGCCCCTTAAGAAAACCACCTTTTTCATTTTGGTCACCCGGACAGTGTTCCAGCCCACACACAAACTAAATGATTACTACAATTGGAAAAACTATTCACGTTTCAACCCTCATTCTCACAAACCATCCTCAAAACTATTTATTGATACTCGTCTTTATTTTACTTTGCATCAATTGTCTGCTCATTTATTTCACTTTGCACATCCTCTTATTCTTCGACTGCTATAGCAGCTCACCTATAATGAAAAGCCTGTTCTATTCGATCTCGAGTCACTGACTGGTCAGAAGTTGAACGCTACCACCGAATAAAAATTTCGAACTAGCCTTTCTTGAAATTACATATGACATTCAAACTGACCTTCTTCAACGTTCACACGATAATGCAGATCGGACAACAGATAGGGTCGGCCATGCCTTTGGAGAGTCTTAATATCGATGTCTGTTGTCTGTCTGAGATCCATTTGAATAGCCAATCGAGATAACGGTGACCGTCTACTGAAACTTTGCACAGACTGGAACCTGTTTCTGACAGACACTAACTATCGACAGTCTTCACCGGTGTGTTACCTAGCCTCCTACATCTGCATCTAAAACCTGAACTCAGATTGTTCACATCGCGATCAGCTACCGCTGGTATGGTTATGTGCAAAACTGCCGCTCCCATCGGAGTGCTTATCTAGACTCTGACTATGACCTTGTTTGCGCTAATCTTACCGTGTCTTTCAGTGACTAAAACATTTATCGTTCTCACAGAATGATATCAGCAAATTGGTTATAGCTTCTGTCGAGAATAAATATGGAATTGAGCTAGGTCGAAGGCTAGCTACCAACCCGTCGAAAAGTATAGATGAGCATTGGGTGCACCTACATGACGCCAAAGGGATGAAGAATAAAGTCGCTAGTCTTTGCAAAACGTCCCGCTTATAAGCACTTGGTTTCTACAGGCTCCTTACAACTTTTTGGAACTGGATTCAGCTTGGAGAACAAAACTTCATTAAAATCTTCTACCTGAAATACAAATCTTCTTCGCCTGCGGACATTTCATCCATTACGCTTTGCTTAAATGAGGCACATGGATTTCACACTCTTTAATAAACTGAATGTTAACTATACAGAATTGGAGAACTTCGTATAAAGGACAATGAATATAACTTAATTTGTAAAAATATTAATATTATTAGTGCCTAGTCTTACAAAAACTCGTGTGTATCGAACAGAATGAAATAACGTAAGATGAAAATACAACAATAAGTAGCAATAGTTTACTCGATGTTCAGTCCACTTAAACTTATCACTTAATTTCTACTACTAAAACCCAAACGACGAAATTTCGGTACAAAACATTACAAAATCTATTTAGTTTCTGAAAAACGTTCATGGAAAGTATATATATTTATTACGGTGTTATTTATAAGTAAAAAGGCCTGGAGCCTTGTCATTCACATTGACTCAATAGCACTTGTATATGTTTCTAGCGGTTACTTCTGCTAAGTAGTGAATAAGTTTCTACTACACGAATCTGTCCAACAGCCAAATTATACGCCAGAGGAGTCTTTACTTAGTTTTAGGTTCCATAAAACTGATTTTACATTTATATCTCCGTAGATTGCGTCAAACATGGTTTAGTGGCATTAATTAATGAATTACATCAATTTTGCCTGGTTCTTACCCCAAAACCTAATTTAAACCTTAAGAAGTGCTTAGGAGCATGTGATGCATAAACTTTCTTGAACACTTTGAATATCGAAGTTGCATCATGCACGTATGAATGCCACTATGCTACTATTTGGGACTCGTCAGCCGGAGTTACCTACATTAGTTTGAGTCCTAAACATCACCGGGAAGGTTTATACAAACAATACAAACCAATTAGACTACCAAAGCAGCTGACAAATTGCAGAAGAGGGTGAATAAAATAGTGTCACCATAATATTACCAAAAAAGCCAGTAGAAATAACAGATAATAACACTAAAAGTTGATTTAAAAACTCAATCATACGAAAAATATAAGTTATTACGAGATCTTGTCAATTAATTGGACAGATGAATGAACACTTTACAGCTTCTTCAACAGCTCGGACGCCTCCTTCTTTGCCTAAGTGTCTCAGCTAGGTAAAAAAAGGCAAGTGGTTACTTCTTCAGTATCCAAGTCATCTTCCGTAAATTCTAACACTTTATGGCAATAATGCTTAGCCAGATCATAATTCTTTAACCTGTGGTACGTCTTTGCTATATAAAGAGAATTTTTTACAATAGTTCCAGGAGCCTCTATAACGAACGTATTGTATATAAAAAACACAAATTACTTTTTTCTGAATCGAGGAGATAGTTAAGAGCCTACAGTGTTATTCGCATTAACCACTAAACTTACCTCTTCGTAAGTAGATGTCGGTGGTTCACCGAAAAACGTAGCGGCGAACTTTCGCTTTATCCATGGGAGATCTGTCACTTCGAAACACCTATGAGAATGTTATGAAAAATTAAATATGACTCACCATCTCCCAAGAGCGTGCAACGTCACAAAGTCGTCAGGATCTGTTTTTATGGCTTTCTGAGAGATAAACTTGGCAAAACAGTATTACCATCCAATGATTCTTCATCTTAAAAGAATTTTCTATTCGCTTATTTATTCCTTCAATTTCTGATGATAAGTTCAAAAATATTCCGTACCACTACAGTAGTACCAATATATATTTGTATTAAATTAATCGAATATGGAACGTACAGAGTTGCATTTAGAACTTTCTGGATCTATCCGAAGCCCTTCATCACAAGCTGACAGACCTTCTTCGATGTACTTTTTATACACTTGTTTATCGTTTTTACCCAATGAGTTAGCTGATATTTGGCTTAAGTGATTTGGCAAAGATTACCTAAATTTCTGCAGCTATGTGCCTTCCTCCAGTACAATTCAGGATGCTTATTATTGCTTATTGCATGAGACACTACATCGTATGCTTCTTTATATTTTTTAGAACTATCAAGCTTTTGCCATTCTGTAATTACACCGTCCATAGCGCTAATTTGCTTATTGAGGCCAAGAACGTCTTACCTTGAAATCGATGCGTTTAAAGTCTTTATTATGCAGAGACAAAGAATAGTATGGCAAATCCCTTACCCTATGTCTAAGTCTTAGGACTTTCTGCTTAAAGTTTGAACTAGTAAGAAGATCGATTGTCTGATAGTTTATGAAACAGCATAAATTAGAGTTGCCCGAGATACCCTCACCCACTTGAACATAGCGTCCCATTTGTTTAATATATGTCTTTTCAACACTTGATCGATCTGTAATAAAAAGATAGATAAAGTCCTGTCTGCATGCCTTTATCAACGACCCCTTATAATGATATCTGAAGCATGGACTACCAGCAATATTTCGAATTTATGTATGCTTCTTGACAACTATTTCCTGTCTCGAAGTTGTAGGTTAAAAGGAAGAGGCGATCTTACATATGCTCACTCTAGCCAAAACTTACTCTTTCGTGATGTGCTAGAATTAAACAAACTGCAGGATTCGGTGTACATTGTTCTGAATTCCTCAAATTCATTTTCCTAGCTGTTAGGTTGTGTTTACCATCAACAAAACACATCAGCAAGTGAAATAGTAATATTATCAGAGATATTCACAGTAGTCTTAGCCCTACCATTCACAGGCAAGCTTGTTTGTAGGGACTTCCACATGCCCTAAATTTCTTGGTCTCCAGTCAAAACGCCGAAACATTTTGAATCATTTATTGAGTGTTTAGAGCTTGGACAGTGAACCCAATACGTCAATAGCTCTACCAGACATAAAAATATCTTGAAGTTGGCTCCTATCAATAACCTTACCCTCAGTGCTGTGTATTTTAAAGAAAATTTCCAGGTAGAAACCATGATAGTGTCATCCGCACCCTTGATATAAAAACCACAACCAGTAAACTGTCAACTATCATGCTGGAAAAACTTCAGAAATTGCATAAGAAACACTGATTGGGTGACTTTCTTTACTGTGAACAGTACCGATAAATTGACCAATACATTACATCATAACAATAGTAATATCTTCGTCAACATCGCATCATGAGAATATTGGAGACATAGATTTTCTAAAGATCTGCATACGCCGGTTCATACAAAAATACGTCTTCGAAAGCATTGGACATGATTCCTTAACCCTAATGACTTCTTTACTGAAGTTACGGTGACAGAAATGTTTGTGAAGGCAAAGGTGATACGTACATGAAAACAGTTACACAGGAAAAATGTCTCATCGAACTTAATAATAACTCCTCCGCATCTATCAAACCCCTTCAAAATAAAGGTGAATGTTCGAAATCAAAAGAACGAAAAATACCCATCAAGGATAGTAAAGTATACGAAGACACTAAACTTATTATGGAACTATTTAGTGAACACCTATGTTCCTCATTAACGAACAAAAACCTGCTAAGTGAGTCGGAGATCAACCCAGTGGCCCACAGTAAAATAACTAATATAGATTTCAATATACAGAATATTTCTAAGACAGCTAGTACACTGAAACACTCCTAAACTGATAGACCGGATAGTATTCCAGCCAGTATGCTGAAAACCAGAAATGACGATATGTGCGTTTTACCTCTTAAACTATTTGTGTTATGACTCTCTACAGCGTGTCACCCTACAGCGCGAATTTAGTGTGAGTTACTTCTTGTCTATTTATCAGTTTTTTACTCATCTGTACACTATGTTGCCTTGCCACTAATATTATTTCACCACTCGTTATATTACCTTATCTGTAACTAATATAAATCTCCACTTTTCCGCCTACTATGGTAAAGAAATATCCTACACTATACCCTTCCTAATGCCTATACTCTGATTCGTAACCTACACTTCACTATATAGTCAATAAAAACATTGCATCGAAGCCTTACCCACAGTCCATAATTTGTAACTGTCTGATAAGCTTGTAACATGGTACTTATAGAAATAGTGTTTTCCAACAGGATGTGAAACACAGAGCATTGTGTGAGGTATGATATGTATCCAAAAAATAAGCGTAAATGAGCCTAACATCACAAAAGGAGGGAGGGTGGAGTTACTGACCACCAAGCACTGATGGTGTGGGAGATGATTTCAATCCACCCGTGTTTGTGGGGCAGAACATTTTGTTTGTATCAGGCTCTTTATGGATGAGAATAAGTCAATAGATCTGTGATATTGAGATTGTTCACCTACACTCACCATTAAGACTCATGTTTCTAATTTTTGTGCTGGATTAACTATTCTACCAAGACAACCTTTAACATGCTAACTCGGACTTTTACATGAACACTGTGTGGCAGGCATCGGATGAGAAAAGAAAAAAAACTGACTGTAAAGGATATGGTTGCTATTTTACTTAACACTACTCTCTATATGCACTCTCTGTTCTTCCTCATTACAACCTTGACTTCCCTCCTTCATTGGAACCTACTCCACTTTGTTAAATATCACAACTCATTGTTCTTTATTACTGCCTTCTCTCTTCTGGAGCCCCTAATCGCAGTTTACTCTTGCAACATAAGCTAGTACCAATTTAATCTAATAATTTATCATACCTCTATCTGTTCCACTAATAAATGTTAAGCCTTGATTATCGCTCATATCCAAATGCCTTGCTGCTCCTCGGTTTCTCTTTTATTTTTTTCTCTTCAGAATCTTGCTCTGAGGGTGAAGCTATGTAACTTCTGACATCTGGAACAAGCTTGACGAACGCGCTTTGCCAAGGTCATAGCTCTAACCAGGCGCTCCACAAGCCTACTTTATAACAACTATAAACTTGAAAAGCTGCATTACGTAAATACTTAGAACTACTGAAACCCTATTACACTTTTTGTCGAGATTGGATCTGGTATGCAACGTGGACGCTATGCCCCTTTGGAAATATATTCTTATGAAAACACATTATATCTGAACGAATGAACTGCTATCAACTTTTATAGATTATAATTACTAAACAAGCTTGCTTGTGATGCATACTGTGAACCGGTATATGTTGTAAATTGTGGATCATGCCTGTAAAAATGGCGTGTACCAGCTAATGCAGAAATATATTATTATTATTACTGCATGGAAAACTACACATATCATCCCCAAAATTAAGACATAACTTGTAGAAAATGTTGAAAATCACCCACCCATAAACAGAACTTCAGTAGCATTTTAAGTGATGGGAAAGCAGTAAATACAACGGTAGTTTAAAATTCACTGACAATGTCATCCCAACCTCTCAGAATAGTTTTCCGAGGTCCAGATCAAACGATACATGCCCACCAGACTACCGAAATATGACTGGCTGTGAATAACCAAAGAACCAGCGATTATTGATTTTTACAGCACGGTATAGCTTATTGTGGAACACACTGTCAATGCCTACCCATAGGTGTGACACTATCACCAAGTTCAAAAACCTGATAACCCTGTTTTATTGTGGATCGCTTAATATCTGGACCGACCGCGAATATAATAGTCTCTCGTCGTCATTCTTACATGTACAAACAAATGATGAAATACGTGGTTTCTCTTTTCCCATTATTCATTATTAGTCATGCTCTTATGCTCCTTCACTTGACCCTCAGATTCCGAGCCTATCTAAAGTTTGAAGTCGCATTCGTTTCTTCCATAAAGTCACATGTCATATTTCAAATATGGTTGATCATATGAAGCTCAGAATATCTTAGATTACCATGAATTCCTTCTAGTTCATGTTCTGCAAGTTAAATTTCTTTGTCAGAGCTCGAATGTTTTGCTCTCATGCCTTACTCACAAATTTCGCAACCCTTAACTCTTCTTTCAAATTCTTTGATCAGCTATCTGTCCTTATTATCCCTAAACAATATATCATCTGGCCAGTCTCTTATAACTTATACCACTAATTAACTTTGTGGCAGTGTGATATACTAAATGGATGTCTAATCCACAATACAAGAGCTTTGCCCATTTCATTTTCTTGTAACATGGAACTAGTAGAGATAGTGTGTCCCAATATCGTGTGCAACACCGAGCTTAAATTAAGGCAATATTCATACATACCACAAACGTTAAATTACGACTCTTTATGACAAAGTGGGTTGTCACAGAACAATGGCACTGACACCACTAATTACAACAGCTCTTGAGCGACCAACTACAAGGCATTAGGTGTTTGAAACCTCGGTAACATTAATCGACAACCCACCAAAGGATAAGTACTCAAAGCAACCCAGGGACATCATTTTATTCCAAAGCGGTAACAAAATGAAAAAGTGGTTAGTTAGCTGTAAAACAATATTCACGTAAGAAATACGAAAGATATGTAACTCCTAGGGTCAGCAACAATAATTTTCCCAGAATGATGGGACGTGTGTTTTTATTATTCGAGGCTAGGTTCAACTAGTAAGAGCGGAATCAACCGATATATTCAGCAGCTCAAAATAGCAGTCACTAGAAATAAATGCTGAAGAGAACGGAAATATAGACGTTTTAGAAGACCCGAAAAACACTAAATGGCTGAAAATATAAGCGAAATGAATCATCTCACTCTCAAGGGCACCAAATGAGAAACGAAACGTGAAAATAAAGGTATCAAAACTTGACATTTCAGGGTAAGACAACGTGTTATCGTTACACGGGACTTATAGAATTGTACAGACAACAATACAAGCAAAGTTATATGTAAAGAGGAGCAAATAATTAGTCAACATCAATAACAGTCTGGTGTACTCCCTAATATATATACATAGTCAAAAGTGTCATTAGAAAAGTGGCGTTTTTCAAAACTTCATGAATAATCTTGATTTTTTCATTTGGGCTGGCGTCAAGACACAAAGTACAGCTTGTGATCATAAAAGAGGTGTGTCTATCAATCTATTAAGTGAACACTTTTCAACCACTCATCAGCATATACGGATATGTATTCACTCGGCAATAATGTATTTTGGATGTAAGTTGAGGTGATGTTTTAATCAGCCTCATAAACGTTCTGCACGGTGCATTGCAACACGAGTGTGTTTTTGAGTATGTTTAGCGGATCAATGTTTTGGCTCCAACGTCCAGCTAGGTAATCAATAGCTGGGTTTTAGACTGGAGAAGAACTGACTGTTAACGATGTAATTGCGGCCAGAAGCCCACCCCTTAGGATCCTGCTAAGTACGATGATCAGTATTTACCTGCAATAATAGGTCTATGAGGTCCCTGAAGACAGTCGAATGTTTAGAAATGCATTATTAGGGGGAGAGGTTACTGTTGTCTGAATCTCTCAAAGGTCAGGCTAATTTCATCCCGGATATCATATCGCTAGTATGGGTGAACACTTCTTGATTGCTCTAGGCATGAATTATCCGAACAAAACTCCTGCCAATCAGAATCTTGTAATAATTTATGACGCTTCATATTATGTTGATAAGGCTGATTGTATTTGACAAGATTTCATGAACTCAGGTGAATGGAGGTAGTTAAAACATAACCACAGTGCATGCAGAAAACCATTGAGGTTAGATTTATTATTTTAATAAACATCTATGGCAAATAATTTTACATGTAAACTTCTCACAACAGTTCATGGACGGTGAAAAGGAAAGGGATATGACATGTTTGTTAGAATCCGTGGGCACCCCGTTGTAGTGGATGTGTTTCTTAGTGACAACTAAGCCTTGAGCAGGTCGGCTTTCATGAAGCATTTACATTATAGTAGTTTGGTTCTGATGATTCCATTTTTACTTCTGTCAAATGGT